GTCTGCAAAGTAGATCAATGAAGGGTTTCATAGTTTGTATGCAGAAGTAATAACCTTCAAAATCTGGTTAATGGATGTGAAACTAGAGCTTCCTGTGAGCTATACTGTTAGATTTCTCACTAATAGAGACTGCCAAAGAAGACTCTCTCTAAGTATAATTTAGCTGAGTGAGCACAAGACCAGACCACAGAGCAGAGTGATATTAACTTCACACTTGTGAACTAAAACTATCAGAAATTACAGATTATGGCAGGTAGTTTTCTTTATAGTGGTTCATTATCTTCAATCTTCCACAAATTGCGAAAGCAGAGATTCAAAGTATGGATTCCTTTAGGGATGTTGATGACTTACACACTCCACAAAAGGTAATATTGTCTCAGACTCTATAAAAGCCATCACACATTAAATTACTTATCTGGAGACAAAACATACTCTTACTTTACAAGCTTAGAATGTAAATCCCCTCATCCTGTTTATAAGATATTATCAGTAAAGAGTTCAGAGTAAAGAAAAAATATGTTAATTCTATTCAGCATTTTTTTAGCAATGCTGTAAACTAAAATGAGAAAAATGTAACTTGGAAAACCGGTTGTGGGTTTGTTTGTTTTTGGCATTACAATTTTGACAATCCCTCAGCCAACACAATCGCTAAGCAGCAATTCTAAAAAGTAAGTTTTCTGATCTCGGTGTCAGCCCTATTTTTTTCACAAGGAGGTGAATTTTGGCAGCTGGGGACGTTGTCAAATCAGTTTAGGGAATATTATTGTAGTACTCTTTGTCAGTAGCTCTGTCTTAATTTTAGTATTAAAAGTTAACATGAAGAAATTCAGTAGTAACACTTTCAAGTGGGAGACGTGACATTAAAATTCTAAGGGAATATTTTCTTACATTTCTGAGGCAGGACAGGTTTTAGAGAAAAAAATACGATCACCCTCTGGCACAAACGAGGCAACAGAAATTGTATTGTAACAGCCTTTATAAATTACTGTACATGTTAAATGTAATTGTGGGGCAATTGGAACTTAATATAAATGATGAATATGGTTCATTGGTTATACAGTGGGATCTCTACTTAAGAACTTAATCCGTATTGGAAGGTGGTTCTCAAGTGGAAGAGTTCTCATGTAGAATCTGCATTTCCCATAGGAATGCATTGAAAACCATTTAATCCGTATCTGCTCTTTTCCGTACATAGAAACTAATGGGAAGCTGCTATTCCACCTTCTACCACTAGAGGGGGATTTTTTTCTTGTTTTTTCCCTTAGGTCAGGGAACAGTGTTAAAAGCACTTCTGACGAAGCTAATTTTGAAGCAATGGACTGAAAACCAATTAATCCGTTCTGGCTGTGTTTTTTATGTAGAGGTGCGTTTGTACATTGAATCATTAGTTCCCATAGGAACTAATGCAAAGCTGGTTAATACGTACTCTACCACTAGGGGGAGAACTTTTTTTTAACCTAAGATGACCTAAGTTTAAAAAAAGAGCAGGAAAGTTTTTTTTTCCTGTTCTTATCTGGATTTTTGTTCTGAAATAGAAGCAAAATTTAGCAAATGGAGCTGTTCTTAAGTGGAATTGTTCTTAAGTAGGGACGTTCTTAAGTAGAGACCCCACTGTAGGAGAAAGACAAGAATAGGCGTAGGGAAGACTCTGAGAGATACAAGTAGCAGAGTAAAGTGCACACATTGAGCATTAGGACTTTCACTACAACACCACCACCCCTTTTAGCAATAATTCTCTGCATGTTTTCCCATCTTTCTATCAGTTCTAATTAGCATGGAAAATGTTGAGGGATTATGGAAGCTGCTATCTAAACAAATCTGAGAAGCCATGTTTCCCACATTGTTGCTCTACAACAATGAGGGCTAGGAACACATTCTCCAGGAAAGCTCCCTCAGAACAGCATGATGTTTGTTAGATCATATAACAACTCTCAATTCTTTCGCAATAATCATAATCTTTTAAAAAGAAGTATAATTCAGAGGTCAGAAACCCTATGCTCATTAACCTCGGTATAATCCCTTGAACATACAGTAATGGGATTTAAGATGCCTCTACACTGGAAAGCTGAGTCACTCTGATTTGGCTTTGCTGAGATTTGATTTGCAACCTGTATTATGGCTGAATTCACAGTCAGTGACTGCAGATTGATGCAGGAGTTGTGTTCACACCTGATATGATGCAATTCATGTTTCAGCCCACAGACGTCCCTTCTTTCGTTCCTTCCTCTTGTCCTGATCCTTTTATGGTTCACTGTCAAGCCACTTCCTTCCTCTTGTCCTGACCCTTTTACGGTTCACTGTCAAGACACTTGATTTTGAAAGGGTTGTACAGTGTTCCAGAAAAGACAGCAGCATTCCAAGGTTCTTCTTAATGTATAGAGAAATACCACATACCACAGGAATGTCTTTAATTTTATCTGGGTTGTTTCCATTTTGTTCATGATTTTAAAAAAAATTGTTTGGAAGCGATCTAATGCTAAACTAATATATCAATATGACTGATTTGATAAGGTGATCTAGTGCTAATCTCATACATTTTAACAAATATAAAAAGTTGGAGGATGACTGGGGAAAAGAATGTGGGTGTGGGTGTTCCAGCAGTCTTGAACTGCCTACATTATTGAAAAACCACCAACAGACACAAACCATATATTCATAAGAACAAATCAACTGATCATATGAAGAAAGGTCTGTTCAAATAATTCTGGCTAGAAAAAAAAGTAGAAGTCCCCAGCAGCTGAGGAAAAAAGCCGCACTAGGAGCAAAAAGGGTTGGGTCAATTCAAATTGGCCTTTGCATCATGTGATCAGGAAAAATCCTGCACTATTTGATTATGTAGTCACAGCCTTACTAAAAGGCGCTGAACTATGATACTAATGTGGGGAATAAATAAGCTAAGTAACTGCGCGATTTACTTTTTTAAGGAAATCAAGCAATGTCTAGCAATCACACATACTGCATCAGTTGTGTGCTCACAATTTTTCTAAAATCTGCACTGCTTAATAATTATAAGAGAAAAAATGGAAATGTATTAAGAGGAAACATCAATTCACAAAAATAATAATTAGAAAATCACTGTGAGAGCAAATTAGTTGAAAAATGATTTTTCAAGAGCCCCAGGGGTGAACTCACTCCTAACTCTGAAGGGACAAAGGAGATATAGGCAACAGACTAAAATAAATCTGATATTATTGTAGAGAAAAGGGCAGGCCCGACATATTCCACGGGGAGAAGATAACTGATAGCTTTATGAAATCCATGACCACAGAGTAAACGTTTATTAAAAAACCCAACTTTCATTGTATGAAAGTTCTGTAGCTGTAAGGAGACGGCAGCATAAGAGAAAAACGTGAGTCTGGTTTACGGAAAGAGACAGTCAAGGACTGTCAAGGGAGCCTGCCTTTAAAAAGTACAAACGGCTGCATTTCTCCAGGAAATCCTACATCTTGTTGGTTGAACTGACAGTGATATAAGTAGAGAATGGCTTTTATCTCCAACTATCATTAGATACTACTTGTTAAAACTCTGAAATTCTCAGCCAGTGAAATTACAGTACTGAACAATATTACCCCTAATATTCTGTTGATAAACTATATCAGGAAATAAAAAAGAAGACAAAAATCTTGTGGCATGTTAAAGACTAACTGTTATATTTAGTGTAAGATTTTGTTGACAAGTTTACTTCCTCAGGAAAGGACCCATTAAAATATAGCAGGTGCGGCAACAGTTTTGTCTTCTTATTCTTATTGCATAATATAGTTTAACAACAGAATATAGTAGTACCTCAGTTTACGAATTTAATCAACAGAATATGGTAGTACCTCAGTTTACGAATTTAATGTGTTCTATGGGATGTTACGTAATGTGAAAAATTCATAAACCAAAACGTGGATTGCCATAGGAACGGGGGCAGCGCTATAAACTTCCAGGCACAATGCATTCTGGGGAAACTTACTTCGTACTGCGAAAAAAAAAAAACACAATGTAAATCGAGGAATTTTTTCCATGGATCTTCCTTTGTAAACTGAAAATTATGTTAACTGAGCAAACAATGTAAATCGAGGAATTTTTTTCCATGGATTCTCCTTTGTAAACTGAAAATTATGTTAACTGAGGTGTTCATAAATCGAGGCACTACTGTATTATACTGTCCAGTAGTGTAGTTTCACATTTTTTTAGGGATGTAAAGTCAAAATGTATCAATTAACTGATTCATCAATAAAAATAGTAAATTCATGATTTGTGATTCATCGATCTTGATGAATTATAAATCATAACAAATGACCATTTTTTTCAACCATGCCCATCTCTAACAGGGAACTTAATAAGGCTTTCATGGTAAGTGAGATATTTAAGGAGTGGTTTACCAGTTCCATCCTACAGTAGGTTTATATGGCTAAATGGGGATTTAAACCCTGTTCTCCAGAGTCCTAGTCCATCACTCTATCCACTACACCACACTGGGAATCCAATGTCAATATAACCAACTCATACTTAAACGCATTTTCAGAAATGTCACTCATTCTACCAAGATCTCTAAGGGACTAGTTTTGTCAGCTTGGATAAGATGCTATATGAAGGAACATTCAGCTGGCTTCTCACTCCACTGTGGATTCAGAAGCAATTCATATGAGACCCTGGTTGTAATAAATGTATCAAACAATCAATCCCTACAATAATGAATAAAATAAACTTGGCAAATTCATCATATGGGAGGGCTGCAAGGGAGAGAGAAAGGAAGACACATGTGCATCTCAAAAAATAGGAGTGTTTTATTTTTAAGGTTTTTTGCAACCCTGGACCTTGGTTGTTGTTTTTTCCAATGAGCAATTAGATCAGCATGGGTTCTTTGGCTTTTCCTGCTTTTCTTTAATTTCGGATCCATCTTTCTTGAGAACACAAGCAGACCTATGGGCCAAGCTCATTTTTGCTTAGCCCATTCATTTTTACACATTGACAGTACCAGAGTCACAATCTCGAAATCAGTTTGCCTGACTTACCTTGCTTTTTGTATGGCACATGAGGCAGTCACATTCAAAACAATACTGGCGCCTCAGGTGTTGCTGGCGTTCGGAAGTGAGCATCATTGTTTCAACATAGCTGATGGTAAGCTGCAGACAACAAAAAGAGTGGTTTAAATTTTGTCAAGGACTTTGTGTAGAAACTCCGAGACAGCAATGGTGGATTCAAAGCTTAAAATATTGTTCAATCATCCAAAGAATTTTTTAAGACAACAGAAAATATATTTAAATGTTTTAATCATTAACAAAGGTAAAAGGGGATGAAAAGAACTTATATCCCTGTTCCAGTGCACTTCCTTTCCCCTCATTCACCCATTTGTACAGATTTTATGTTGATGACATGCTTATTTACCTGTCTGGCCTGATACCATTAGCATGACCCAAGGAGCTTTTTCTTTCTCCTTACCCATCCTGGTGCTATTTCTTTTCCCTTACACGTCCGTTCCTACTTCTGTCCCTTATACACCCATTCCTCCTTCTGTCTCCAACTGTCTTCTGCTCCCCCACCACTGCTTTTCCTTCTCACTGGTCTTTCTCCTTCTTCATTCTAGTGCTCATTTAGCTCTTCATTCCATTTACTCTCCTTTCCCTACTTTCCAGGCAGCACGATTTCCTCTCTGTGTCTTGTCTATTATGATGTGTATGTATCCTAACAGGTATCATCCATCAATATTTCCATAAAATATCTTTAGGTCCCTGGACATATTAGGAATTTGCAAAGTGTTATTTATTCACATTGATGCTGATAAAGGAATATCTACTTTCAGAAAATACAATTCGCTCAGTTCCAGCTTCAGGTTTCATTAAAAAAAAATCACTGGCCTTTTTCTTGTTAAAGGAAGGTTAATCAAAGGTGGTTGGATGCTGAACCTATTGTGCAAGACTGTCAGGTCTGATTATGTAAGAAGAGTATTCATTTTAAGATATGAAATGTGACATGCATTGGCTAATAGATTTTAATTCAGTGCAGATACATTTGAAAAACCTGAGCTTCTACTCCAGTTATTATGTGAATAGTATATGCTGAACATGAAGATTTATAGAGTGCAGAGAATTAGATAGCCACCCCAAGGGACAAGCAAAATTGGTCCTAGCAGAGCTAACGTTGAATGGTAATGCAAATAAAAGTGGAACATTCAGCAATTGTGTAACACAAAGTTACTGAGCCTTTAGAATAGGGCCCAACTAATCAATATTTGGGTTTTTAATATAGTGGTAAGTTAAATTCATTCCAAATGGTCTGCAGACAAACCATATGTGAAGAAACTGAGAAATGGGGAAGCTGGACAAGAAGGCAAAAGTCAGTATTAATTTGGAACAAAAGACCAATTAACACCTTCAATTGATCTCCTGTTAATGAACACTTCAAAAAGAACTGAGAGGGAACTGACACCTCCATGCTCTTATCAGAAGCCTCATCAAAGCAGCACCAAAAGGTATCTAACACTTCCACTTTAACTCTTGATTTGAAAACAAAGTTTGCTTCCTTCCCTGGAGTCATGCAAATTTCAGTTGCAGAAAAGGAAAATGGGAAGAAAATGCTTTTGTTTTGGGTAAATATGAAAGGGGATTAAGAATTAAGAGACTGATTAGGACAAGGTTGGAATAGCTCATTTTATGTATAAAAGGGATTAGGAAAACTGTTTAGACAGCATAGCCTATGTCTCAGGAGCAAGTGCTTTGCTCACCCACTGTTTCTAAATGCCTGGAAGGGCTTAAGTCTTACTTAGAACAAGATAACTGTATCTACATGCTGTCCTACAAAGGATGCAGTATGCTACCAATCTGTTAAGGTATGAGCATTAGGTAGTTGAGCTTAGTGCTTGCTGTTTTCTACTGTATTTCCCTTCAATGGCCTTAATTAATATTAAGGGTATTTTGGGAAACCACTTTGTAACTTTTTGGAACATTTGCCTTTTTCCCCTTTAAGCTTTCCCCTTTCTTTGATAAAAGACAAAAATCCTTTCAAACAGCTGTCTAGATTTTTGGCAGAGAGGATTAATGGTACTAAAATCAGGTCTTGCTTTGACCTAGCTACCAGAATATTTCATGTTTGAGTGGGTGGGTGAAAGCTTTTCCTTTGCAAAGGAAATGCCTTGCTTCTACGTGCCTAGCCTTGTTGATTTTGTTTTGAACTCCCTGGAAGCATTGCTGAAGCTAAGTAGATAGTAATGTGTCAGATTCTCCTCTCCAGCTAACTTTTCCCTGGGCTCAGCAACCTCCGAACAGGAAGCATTGTGTGACCATGCAACCGTCATGGCTCCCACACACACACACTTCAGAACAATGTATTTTGTCCCCTTACATTTTCTCCTTCCAAGTTATAGGAAGATTTTAAAATCTGGAACCTGACATAGGGGAAAAAAAACAGGAAAAAAGGAAACCACAGCTGACACAATAACAAAGACTAAAGTGCTGTAATTGCTTGTGAGTGAAAGATCAAACTTGAAATTCATGTAGTCTCGTAATCAGAAACAGACTGTCAAATAACCACAGCTGACTTCTGTAATGGATGCCTTCTACTTTATATCAGACACAGGTACAAATCCTCAACCACACACAAAGACACAACACCCATATAGATAGACCATAAGGGGTCTTACTACTTGAGCACAGAATGAGAGCTGATGAACTCATGTTCCTGCCTTGCCCCTCTCTGGCTTTGGCTGTAGCACTGTGTTTGGCAAGACATTCCCAGGAAAGTGTGTAATGGCTTGTGTTTGTTAGAAAATGGAGAGAGCATTGCTTGGGGCAATGATTTTAGTAGATTTTGATATTGTCAGGATTTGAACTTGACCGTATAGATACGATGATTATGCCTAGCCATTAAAATCCATGCACCACAGAAATCTGGCAAAAATTAGATTTACAGAAAGCTGGCATATCTATGAATATGGATAATCTATTAATAAAGAAAGAATGACGACGAAAGGTATTTTCTACTAGTTCCAGGTCCTACACAAATACCTATAATGCAGCCATTGCAAACAAAGAACTATGTGTTGTCTTGTATTTCCCTATAATATATTATATTTTATGGCAGAAACAGTTTGTTGTGTTTGGATCCCTGAGATCATGAGACCTTCATGTGTCTACATTGTGTAGCCACACTGATGTGGGGCAACACAATGTGGAGCAACACAATGCAGTCCACAGGGAAAAAGTACTATGTGCTAATAAAAGGTAAAGGTTCCCCTTGACATGTAGTCCAGTCGTGTGCAACTCTAGGGCACAGTGCTCATCCCCATTTCCAAGCCGTAGAGCCAGCGTTTGTCCGAAGACAGTTTCCGTGGTCATGTGGCCAGTGCAACTCGACACGGAATGCCATTACCTTCCCACCATGGTGGTACCTATTTATCTACTTGCATTTACATGCTTTCGAACTGCTAGGTTGGCAAGAGCTGGGACAAGCGACGGGAGCTCACTCCGTCACGTGGATTCAATCTTACGACTCTGGTCTTCTGACCCTGCAGCACAGAGGCTTCTGCAGTTTAACCCACAGCGCCACCACATCCCTCTGTGTGCTAGTAGTCAACTGCTATTAATTACCCAAGGCCACCACAAAGACTTCCAAGGACTAAAGATGACTGCTGTTGTTGTTTAGTCATTAAGTCGTGACCGACTCTTCGTAGCCACATAGACCACAGCACGCTAGGCCCTCCTGTCTTCGACTGCCTCCCGGAGTTGGGTCAAATTCATGTTGGTAGCTTCAACGACACTGTCCAAACATCTCATCCTCTGTCGTCCCCTTCTCCTCTTGCCTTCACATTTTCCCAACATCAGGGTCTTTTCTAGGGAGTCTTCTCTTCTCAGGAGATGGCCAAAGTATTGGAGCTTCAGTTTCAGGATTTGTCCTTCCAGTGAGCACTCAGGGTTGATTTCCTTCAAAATTGATAGGTTTGATCCCCTTGCAGTCCAGGGGACTCTCAAGAGTCTCCTCCGGTACCACAATTCAAAGGCATCAATTCTTTGGCAGTCAGCTTTCTTTATGGTCCAGCTCTCACTTCCATACATTGCTATTGGCAAACCCATAACTTTGACTATGCGGACCTTTGTCGGCAAGGTGATGTTTCTGCTTTTTAAGATGTCTAGGTTTGTCATTGCTTTCCTCCCAAGAAGTAAGTGTCCTTTAATTTTGTGGCTGCTATCACCATCTGCAGGAATCATGGAGCCCAGGGAAGTAAAATCTCTCACTGCCTCCATATCTTCTTCTATTTGCCAGGAAGTGATGATCTTAGGATACATTGGGACAAGAAGGCCTAAGTCAAATGTGATGCTGATAGGAGTTCTGGTGTCTTTTGCCCTTCCGCCCTGCAGTTCTTGGAACTGCCCAAAAACCAACTCTGGAGGCCTTTCTAGGCAGCCACAGTAGGTTTGGGGGTAATCAAGACCCCACTGAAGAGCACAAGTACTTAGGTTGGACTGGGCTCCTGTGTAATCAGAGATCCAGCACTGAATACATTGTACAGTGAGTCGTGCTATTTTTTGGCTTGGTTGTCAGTACTATTCTGGAGAGATAGAAACATCTTCCAAACTGTTGTTAGGAAATGTAAGAGAAATGCAAGGATTTCCCATAGCCCTATACCCTAATCCTAACCCCAACCCCAACCTTAAATAAACTGGAATTCTCATTATGGTCAGACATTTTTCCACCACTCATTCAATGTAAAGTTTTATCATATTACGTGCATGTGGCTTAAAAAATCCTGGGCTGAATCTAGAGTCTGGAATAATTTAATTAAACTTCAGTCCTACTAATATTATGATAAAGTATCAAGGTCACAAGTTTGACACTTAAACAATGATCCCAGAGCACTATAAAACCTTATAACACCCCTTGGTAGTGTGAGTCTATGATGCTCTACCACAGCTGACATTTACCCCTGAAAAGGTTTATTCTACTGTGAATAAGATAGTATTTCCAATCATATCAAAAGTCATCTGAGTGTCAAGTATACGTTTTCATCATTGAAATAATTCCAAGAAAATCAACTTGCCTAATTTTATAAGCTTTTTCATCTATATTGCTTCTATGCACAACATTCTAAGAGTGATTGAAAATATGTAACTTTTAAAAAAGTCAGGCACATTTGATTTACACGGAAATTAAACTTACATCAATTTTAAAAAGCTGTAGGTACAAATTCTTAAACAGAAATCCCTTCTTACATTGCAACATCTTTTATTAATGACAGTCTTTCAGAAGTTGGATTTTTCCTGTAATGCTGTATTGAGAACTTTTTTCCTTGTGAACTTTCTTCCTCTTTATGTTGCATCCCCTCAACACTAAATTTATCACCCCTAAATTAAGCCCTGCTGATTACAGTGGGGACTATGTGCAAATACATGCCCCCACCCCATGTATTGTGTCTGCAAAGTGTACCAAATGTTAGCCACACTGCTTATGAGACGTATTCCCAGGAAATTATATGGGAGACTTTAGTGTTACTACTACTCCTGTGTACTTCCTGTAACACCACCACTGTTTCAGGCATTTTTGATATACAACATATGTTCTTACTGGAAAGTCCTTACAAACAAATGTTATACAGTACTGGGAAGAGACACTACTGGAAAAAAGCAGAGCATGGAAAGTAATTCTTAAAGAATGTAATAGCATGTTGAAGCCAGTCATAACTGAGCATTGGTAGGGTGATATTCTGGGAGCCAGGACACCATCGTCCTATTGCCCATTTATGGATGCCCTCAGACTGCTACCTTTAAAGTAATTCTCCAAGCCATAAAAACAAACAAATAAACAAAAAACTTGAGGGAGGTTGTTGAAAGAAACATAGAGCTTAAAATTGTAACTAAATAAAGATACACTTCACTGCAATCCAGTATCAGAGTGTAAGGACAGAAGATGATGAGACATCTTGACTTACCCTGTGAATTGAACACTATACCACATTTTGCTAGCAACCATCTTCTGAGGGCATGTATTGCATGTGCCCATTTTTGGGAGGATGGGTGGAAATCAGATGATGTGAAGAATTTCTCTGATAAAGGACGCAAATCATTTTGGAAGGACATTTTTCCATGTCATTTTTAATAAAATCAACAAGGAAACCACCTCTGCCTTGTTACTTTCCTTACCAACGAAAGCTTTACTGCTTCAGCCTGACAAATGCTTCTTGTTGCCAAGAAGCATTCTTGATTTAGTAAATGCCACATTCTGCCCAGAAGTCTCATAAGTGGGTATTTTTTTTATCAGGGCAAAGGCACTCAAATACAAACAGAATGAAGTGCCTAGAGGAGGCATGGGGGAAGAGAAATTCATCAAGGTTGCCAGTGATTTATGAGAGGCAATGATTATGGGACCCAGACAGTGTGAAGAGAAGATTCTCTTTATCATCTGCTTCCTGATAGCTATGTGATAGGAAGTAGCACCAATATATCATTAAAGTGTTAAAGCTGGTGGCCCTGCAGTCTGGAAGTTATTTAAGGCGATGCAACTGCCGCAGGTGCCTTTGACGGAAGAGAGAACAAGTTAATTACCTCTTCTCCTTTCTGAATTTCCCGGATGGAGCGAAGGTGGAGCTGAGGGCCCTCAAAGATAATCACACAGTTGGGATCACAACTGTTGTTCAGCAAAGACATGCTGAGGAAGGAAGACAAATAAGGTTTAAGGTCAATGTCAGAGCAGAAAGGAACAAAGGAGGAATCAAACCATTGGTCTATTTAGCCCACTATTATTATTATTTTTCTGACTAGCAAGAGCTGTTCAGGGTCTCAGGGAGAGGTCTTTCCCATCACTTGCTGCCCAATCCCTTAAAATGGTGATAGCAAGAACTGAACCTGACACTACCTACATGGAAAGAATAGATTTTGTGGCATAGCTTGGAATAGTTGCTCTTTGCATACAACTCCCAGGATGCCCCACTAACTGGGAATCATAAGCCAGAAAAATAATATCTAAGATCTCTGTTTTACTGCCAAAGCATGACCTTTCCTTTGCCTACTCTTGAAGTCAGAAGTGATAAGGCCCAGAATACAGGTTTACTAACTCATTTGCAGTTTTTGGAAAACTAGATGAGACAGCAGCTTCTTACCCAGAGATTGACTACATATTTCCCCTCTGGCAACACAGTTCCTTCCAAATTCTGTGCCTAAGCAATCAAACTTGCAAATAAAGCCAGTCTCTACATACGAATTACCAATCAAGCAACAAAAGCAAGCTCATGTGCAATATGCAATAGGGATGAAAGCTAGGATACACAGATATCTTCTACCTACTAAGGAAACTCCACTTTTGATAATGCACTAAGCATTCCATCTAGTTAGACCCTTTCCTTTCACTTTCACATAAGATCTTATTAAAAGGTGCTAAACCTATGATTAAGAAGAACTATTATCAGTTGGACTGCCAGATGGTTCAGTGGTTTAGGTCACTGGTTCTTAACTTCCACTTTTGATAGCACACTAAGCGTTCCATCTAGTAGACCCTTTCCCTTCACTTTCACATAAGATCTTATAAAAAGGTGCTAAATCTATGATTAAGAAGAACTCTTATCAGTTGGACTGCTAGATGGTTCAGTGGTTTAGGTCTCTGACTGCAGAGCCAGAGGTTGGGAGTTCAATTCCCCCACTGGGCCTCCTTGACAGGTCCTGGACTCAGTGATCCACAGGGTGCCTTCCAGCTCTGCTGTTCTAAGATGATTATGATTATGATTTGAAATCAGACTTGCTAAACTATTAAAATTATAAAAGCCAGAGGTTGGGAGTTCAATTCCCCCACTGGGCCTCCTTGACAGGTCCGGGACTCAGCGATCCACAGGGTGCCTTCCAACTCTGCTGTTCTAAGATGGTTATGATTCTGATTTGAAATCAGACTTGCTAAACTATTTGAAATACCTCACCTCTTGGGGGAAAATCCTCTCCTCTCTTAGTTCTAATGCTTCTCCTTAATTTCTGCTCATTCTCAGTTGCCCCCTTCTCTTCTCACCTACCTGGTGGCAGTGACAACAGAGAAGTCTCACTGCAGGTCACTCAGACCAGAGTCCATTTCTATGTCACTTCTATGTACAGGTGCATCAGCAGCCGTAACAGCTGTTATAGCAACCTAGAGAAAAGAGCTTCAAAGGCACCTGAGAGTCATACTAAAAACTCAGGCTCCCTGGATCAAAAGAAACACATTAATTTACCACCGAGACACATAGAGGAACAGCTTTCTAACTAGCAACATTATTTGGAGTCCCTCATAAGTAGACCCTATTCAAGGCATCAGTGAGTGATGGACTTCATTTCGTTTGAATTATCAAGTTGGAAGAGCAGTGATGGAACATTCTCAACAAAGTGTTTTCATTTCGTGATGTGTTACAGTGACTGGTATCTCAGCAGCCTGGGACAGAGACAGTGTGTGGGATGCAAGTAGAAACATAAGAGGTTTTTTTGTCCATTAAATAATATCCACAGTACCTGGGATAAAGGCCAACACCAACACCCTGCATTTCTCCATTACTAATGCTGAAAGAGTTGCAGGTCACCTGTAAAAGCAAGGTTAAACCCCATGATTAGGATTACGAGACTTTATATCCAAGTGAAGGGGATGTTTAAAAAGAAGAGAGGAAGTGCTCAGTTACTAGAGGAGAAATATTTAAACTGTGTACAGAGTTATACTTTTCACATAACAACGTGTCAGCATGAGACACAGGCTAAAGCCCTTTAAAAGGTGAAAAAAATGCAAATTTAAATACATTCAAAGATCCCATTTCCTAGCCTTAAAGCGGAAAAAAATCATAAAATGTACGCTTGCAAAACTGCATTAGTCACAAATTTAAAAAACAAAATCTGTCTACAGACTAATTTCACAGGCTTTGACAGCAAAGTTAATTCAAATGAATGAACACACACACACACACACACACACACACACAAATAGTATGTCTCTTTAAAAACACTCCACATTAATTAATCCATTACTTATTTAACCCATTCCAACATTCCCAACTATTTACAAAAGCCATATGTCTTCATTATGTCTCTCTCCTCCACTGCTATTAAATACACAATTTGTGATCAGACTTGTGAGCTCAGTTTAGTCCATTTTTAACAGCAGTTATAGTCACTGGAAAAACACTGAATTTGCTTTTCAGTCCACAAAAGAGTGAGTCATTATACCAGGTAGGAAAAGGATTTCCCATTTCTCTGAAACACCACCAACTAAAACCAATTCCCATGGATATACGCTGGGGTATGTAATTTGTGGTCCTCCAGATCATAGATGGGTGTTGACTCCAGGTCCACAGAAGAAGTGCATCCACACCAGGTTTTATAGGAGCTGATTAAAGTTCTGTAACTATTTGGGGGATACCCTTGCACCAGATGTTGCTAGACCACAGCTGCCACTAGCATGGCTAATTGTGATAGGTGATGGCATATGTTAAGTTCCACACTTTGTTCAGTCATGGTCTATGCAGTTTAAGCACTGCAGGAGTGTTGTGTCCCCAACTACAAACATGTCTAAAGAAGTATTCAATGAGATATGTGCCACTTGTGGGCCACCAGAGTTGTCTAGACGGAACACTGGGTTTTCATAAAAATTCATTCTCCTTCTGTTATATGATAAACCATTTCCAAACTGACCTTTGGTATGTTAGTAGTAATGCTGGACATTCATTTTTTGTCCTAATCCCCTGTCTGCCCTACCTACCACTGAAATATTGGTCATTATCACCATATGTGATGATGAGCACCGTAAGCTACAACCTAAGCCTCTAGCACTTCTGGAAATATCAATCTGTATTCATCTAACATCCACTAACATCAGGAAAGGGACTAGGGAATACAAAAGCAGGAGAAAGTGGATGGGTTAATCTAAATCCCTGCTGTCTATTTCTACTCTGCTCCATGTAAACCTTTTCTTTCAAAATTGTGTTTCCTTAAGCACAATTCCTGTTCGGTTTTTTCTTTTCTTTTTTTAAAAGCATTTCAGGATTAGCATACAAAATCCAACCATTTAAAAAGGGCAATACCAAGGGTTATGGAGATGGAATGCATATCTGGAGCAAAGCTTGTTGTTAATAGTCTGTCAGACATGAAACAATGTCTTCCACAGTTTCTGAAAGCCAACAAATTAACAGATACAATGGCAGGTTGGGGGTCCACAGTCATGAAGAAGTGTGTGGAGAGTGGGGGCAGAATCTGCCTTTCATACCTGGATATTGAAAATTTCGGGCTGGCAAAAACCACTTCCACTGTTTTTAATTCCAGAGGAGAACAGGCTAGGAGCAATCTGGGGCAACTGAGAATCAAAGACACAAAGCTCCCTAGGGTAAAGTCAATAACCTTAACTAGAAACAAGCAAGAAGATCCAAGAGGTTAACAGGCAACTTATGCATGGTTGATCTTCATTCTACTGTGGATATTCTTCAGCAGCTTGCACTGCAAGGATTTTAATCTGAAAGGGTTGGCGACGGAGAAAAATCTAGTGTGAAGCTATATGCAACATAAAGAGAATGTAACACTTGAAATATGTGCACCACTGGAACACTGCTTTGAATTTATTTATTTGTTTGTTTATTTATTTATTTATTTAATACCCCGCCTATCTGGTCATTGCGACCACTCTAGAAAACCCTGATGTAAAACCTTTGCTTAGTCATGCAACTCATAGGGAAGAATAGGTGAACGTGCCATCTTGCAGCCATTTGTGTTTCATTGAGCTCAACAGGAATTTAGTTGAGCTCAGAGGTTTATAAACAAAAGGAGACAAAAAGTATGTCTATCCTATGATGGCTAACCCTTTCTTTTCAAGTTTCAATTCAAGAAAGAAGACAGGGTACCCATATACAGAAGATTAAAGTTGGTATTACAATTTTTGAACATACAAAACCCTCATGAATCTCTCAGGAGCTCTTCTACAATCTCATTCCTCGCTGAATCCATAAATTGTTAGAAAAAACATGTGAGGGAGATACCTGCTGTGAGGCTCAGCAATGGAACTGATTAAAACCCACTGTGGATACTCTGCTAATTAGCATGTAAGGCATTTCTCTTTGTTGCCTTTTTCATCTTGATAACTCCACAGAGTGAGCATACCTAATGATGGCACTGCTTTTAAACCCTTGCAATGTCTGTAGTAAGCCACAGTTAGCCAAAGATAATGTACAGCCCTCACTCGTGGGATTTTTCTCCTAGTGCTTCCCAAGCTGTCACTTCATCTCAGAGTAGGCAATCTAGCACAGAATAAAGAGCAGAAGTAATTTAAAAACAAAAACAAAAACAGAATAGATGTGAAGTACTTCACACTCTCTGAAGCTTTGTTTAGTGTGGTAAGTTGCACTAGAGTAGGCCCCCTTGAATCAGTGGGGATTTGGTGAGTCAATTCCTTTGTAGTTCCACTGATTTAAATGGGCCTACTCTAGCTGTGACTTACTACACTAAGCAACAGGAATACCTGTGAAACAGAATGGAGAAAATAAAGAAAAGTTTTGTCTCAACATCCCAGGCCTTCAGTTAACTTATAGATAATTCTTTAAGATATTTTCTTCTATGGGAAGAAGTTTATTTTTAAGTTCTGGAGGATCTGCTATATCTAACTGTTAAATATGTCCTAGAAGTTTGAAGGTCACTTCCAGTTTCTTTTCACAAATAGTGAATTATCATCATTGTTATCATAATCAATTTTACTTGAGTTTTGTAAACATTCTCTAGCAGTTTTCATGCTAAAATTATTGTGCAGGATTTCAACTGTAATGCTACCCAGGATGGCCTGTTTTAGAAGGAAATGTCTCACTGAAGAAATAAGAAATAGCTTATGCCTTTAATGGTATACATGCTTTGTGAAATAAATCATTGGAGCCATACATGGAATAGCAGCAACAGCATGTACTTCATAATGACTATATATATATAAAGTCTTAACAAATGTTAACAATATATAAATTTAACATTTGTTAAGACTTATGCCACCAAAGCCCTCCCATGTTAAATATATATTATTTAATTCAGTGGTTCTTAACCTTTGTTACTCGGATGTTTTTGAACTGCAACTTCCAGAAACCCCAGCCAGCATAGTTGGTGGTGAAGTCTTCTGGGAGTTGCAGTCCAAAACTCCTGAGTAACCCAAGGTTAAGAACCAGTGATTTAATTTACCTACCGCCCATCTGTCTACCAAGGTCACTCTAGGCAGTTCACAGCAGAAACTAAAACAATAGTCAACAACAATGAATTAATATAAAATAGCATCAAAGTTATATAAAACAATAAACATACACTACACATTATAAATTAGGAACATTATAAACTTAGAAATATGCCAAAAAACCCCACACACATTTAATAAAAATAATCAGAATGGCTGAATATCTGATTTAGGGGTTGGTAAGTGCTCTGTGCTCCATTGGTATAACATTTGCAAAGTCCTGTCTAAATACCAAAGTTTTCAACAGTATCTTAAAGGTAGCCAGTGATGGGGCCAGGCGGGTATCAGGTGAGAGTTGAATCCACATGTGTGGCGAAACCGCCAAGAAGGACCAATATCTGGTCTGTTCCTTCCAGATCTCTTTTGGGGTCAATGCCCTCAATTGCCTGGCTTAGGATGAACAAGTAGGGTGGGCAGAACCCATTGAAAGAAGACATTCTGCCAGGTATCAGAGTCCCAAACTGTTTAGGGCCTTATATGTTAATACAGGGGTGGGCAAAATGCGGCTGAATTGCAACTCCCATAATTCCTAGCCCACACAGCCAATAGTGAGGAGATTTGGGCCTAGCCCACACAGCTAATAGTGTGAGGAGAGTTGGGCCTAGGCCACCCAGTGAGGAATGTTGGGTTTTGCAGTTCAGGAACGTCTGGAGGGTCGCACTTTGCCCAGGTCTGTGTTAATATCATCATCTTGAAGCTGGCACTTAAACAAACAGGCAATCAGTGTAAGGTGGCCAGAATGGGGGAATTGTGATGGTATCTATTTAGTCTACCCAATAGTCCAGCTGCTGTGTTTTGGACTTGCTGAAGTTTCCAGATTAGCTTCATGGGTAGCCCCATGTAGAGAGCATTATAGTAATCTAATCTTGATATTATCAATGCATGAACCAGCATGAGAAGGGACCCGGTGCCAAGGCAGGGGTACAGCTGGGTGATCCATCTAAGACGAAAATAGGCAGAGTGGACCACAGATGCTATCTGGATGTCCACTGACACCGATGGCTCCAGCAAGACACCCAGACTGCACACCTCATCCTTAGTGGAGAGAGAAGCCCCCCCCCCCAAGAAAGGGAAGCAGACAAATACCAGGGGCACCCACCCGCAGAACCTCCATCTTGTCCAGATTCAGCTTCAGTCTGTTATCCCTAATCCATCACAGCATGGCATCCAAGGAGCACTTAAGTGACAGGACAGCATCCAATGGAGACGGGTGGAAGGGAAAAAAGAGTGAGTACCATCAGCATACTGATGATATGAGACTCCAAAACTCCTGATGACCTCCCCCAGCAGCTTCATTTAGATTTTAAACAGCAACAGGGAGACAATCAACCCCTGAGGGAC